AACACGCAAAACTAGGCCATGAAAGCTGTTTTTTGGCTGCTCTTTTTCTTTTTTCTTTAGTCTTTTTAATGAGAGAATGAATAAAAGAATCTGAAAAACGATGTACAAATTGCTCCGAGTTCTCCATCTTAATTTGAAGCTAAGGACTTGTTGTAGATCTATTCTTGTGTTTCACGACCTTGTATCCGGGCTCTTCTTCCTGAATTTGTAGTTTGTTGGAATATTGCTTCTGATGTGTACAGTCTTTGTACTATGTCTGGAGCTTGCCCATATTTTCTTCAGTAGACAGTGTCATAGTAAATTATTCATTTGGTTTCAAAACTTGACTTATTGGCTGTATTACATCATAGTGGTATTATTTATTTTCTCCTGTAAATACTGGCCACTAGTGATTTGTTGGATCTCCTTGATGCCAGTGATCTGCTCAAAGTTGACATAAGTGTAAAAGGGTCTTAACTCGCAATGAGTTTGCGATACAGAAAGCTTCTTCTCCCAAACTGTGATACAGCTGTTTCCTGGTGATTCATAAGTCAAAAGAAAGCTTAAGACCTTGAATATCCATTGAGGTCCTTCTTTAGTCAATCTTTAAGAAGCTACGCCTCTGCTGGAATGTAACGATAAATGAAAGAGGTTCTAGCAGAAAGTTGTTTTTTTTTCTTTACGAATCCACATTTTGAAATATATTTTTCAAATATGTTTTCAAAAAGAAACTGCCTGTGATATTCTGCAAGCAATGTTTTTGAAAAGAAACTGCTTGTCTTGTGATCGGTCGAAACATTTGTCATACACTTGTGTCACTCTGCCGGCTTTCCACTTTGGCATACATATAGTGATAAGTAACTTGCTTTTCATTTTGGCTCTCGTACTTTCCCTTTATAGTGATAGTTCATACAAATAGTGATAGGCCACTAGCTTTTCATTCTGAAATCTCATTTTCAATAATTTCTATTATATGTTATTTTTTGGGTAGCGTCCCATCTGCGTATAAGAATGCTCATTGTAGTCTATTTTTCTTTTTTACGCTGATGTATGAGGCATGTTTAGGCTCTTCTTGTTATCTGCAGGAAGCTGCTATAAACAATAATGGGAAGGCTGCACACTCAGCATGGCGAAACTATGATGATTTTAATGAATATTTTTGGTTTGTCTTGTTGCAAAATACTAATTTTGATTTTGATAGTGCTCCCAAGTTGTAGAACTATATTTTGTGATGTCATCTCTAATGTTATTGTAGGTCACCTGCATGCTTTGAGTTGAACTGGCCCATGAAAAAGGATTCGTCATTTCTGTTGAAGCCCAAAAAGTCCCAAAGGGTTGGTTATTTATCATGGTGGTGTTTGACAAAAAATTTCTATGTTTGGTGTATTCCAGTGTCTATCAGTTTTTCTGGAGTTAATTATCAAATGTAGCTCTGTTTGTCTGTCATTTTCTTTTAATGTTTCCAATGCAATTATTGATATTGGGTTTTCTTGTTTTTATGGTATATAAGTCGTCTGGACTTGGATCTTAAAAAACTGAAAGCTGATCTGAGTGTGCTCCGTAATTTTGTTGTGAATATGTTTGTGATTTTCTAGATAACCATTGCTGTTAAGTTGTTTCAAACTATTGGGGATCCGGTTTTCTCCTTCCATTCTATAATAAAATTCTTCTTCTATCTAAAACAAAACTATTGCAAATTTAACATAAAAGATGATGATCAGATTTCCATATAATAAGTGCAAAAGTTGGTCTTGTTGGATCTGCCCCTGAAATGTCAGATGACTCCAAAGGGACCACTTTGTGGGAACTACTCTATGGTCCATAATCAGGCCCTGTGACATATAAACTAACTAGGAGAAAGGGTGGAGGAGGGCTTGGTCAAACTCAGGTAGGTTCCAGGACAAGTCTCTTATACTTTCGTCTTCTTCTTTTGTGGTTTTGGGAATTCTACTCTTAAATTTCAAAATTCCTTAGGCGCTTACTTAGAAGAATGTTATATTAGTAATGATACTTTCTATCAAGTTACAGCTTTGGAACCTGGAAAACTTCCTTCTTCTTCCTTCTTCCTCTTTTTTAGATAGGCATCTATTTATATGCCTTTTTGTAGCATCCACCATTTTGGGATTTCTATTCTGAAAGTTCAAATTTCTCCTGGGCTATTACTCTTACTCAGAAGACTGTTATATAAGTTTAATGTTTTTTATTAATTTCTAGTTATGTTGGTTTTCTCAGTGGCCGTTTTGCATCGTTGATTTCCCTCGTGTCATTCTGTTAAATTTTCAAAAGTCTGGTTAGTGTAGTTAAAAATTCTATGTTGTGCGAGGCCCTGCGATATTAGTCTAGTTGGAAATCTCCGAAGTTTCATATTAACTTCTGAGTTCTGTCCACTCTTCTGGAAAATAATGAAGGATTACACCAATCTGTTGGTAGGATCTATTCCAGATTTTTTGAATATATTAAATTTCTTCTGTTGTTTAGACATGATGGGGGTTACTTACCAATTTCGAATTGGTGTTAGTTTTTATCTATTACAAGTTGATTCTATCTCTTTGTTTGAGTTCTACTCTCCTCTTCTAATTTTGATAATATCTGAACTGGCAGACTGGGAAAAGCACATTCGTTGAGCATCGGACATATCTTCACTTGTACCGAAGTTTTCATCGCATGTGGGTTTTTTTAATTGTAATGTTCCAGGTAAATTTTGTTTTGCTAAATGCTACCTTATCATATATTGGATGCAGGTTGTTCTCTTGAGTTTTTGTTCTTGTTTTTTTTTTTTTCAAATTTTTTTGATTCCAGGTGTTGACAATTATAGCCTTTAATGATGGGAAGATTAATCGCAATACATTTATAACAATTCTCAGCATTGGTCCAACTTTTGCAATATTGAACTTCTTGGAAAGTAGGTTCTTATTCTTTACCATGTCCTTTTGTAGTAGTACTCAAATATATTTGCTTTTTCCTTTTCCTTTCCCTCCATTTTTTCATTAGTTCACATTGATGCTTATCTAGGCTGTCTGGACGTCCTCCTTATGTTTGGAGCTTACTCCTCTGCGAGAGCCATGGCCATATCAAGGCTGGTTATTAGGTTTTTCTGGGGTTGCTTGACCTCTCTTTTTGTGACATATGTCTACGTGTAAGCTTATGGTTCTTTTGTTAAATATGCTTTGGCAGTGTACTGACACTTGATGATTGTTAATGTTAGTAGCTCACATGGTACGAAAATGAAATTTTGCAGGAAAGTTTTGCAAGAAAGGAGTAGAAGTACCTCAGATTCATTCTATTTCCGGATTTATATACTTGTGTTGGGTGTTTATGCTGCTTTACGCCTAGTTTTTGCAATTTTGCTGAAGTTGCCCGCATGTCATGCCTTGTCTGAAGTGTCTGATCAGTCATTTTTTCAATTTTTCAAGTGGATTTATCAGGTATAGAAGCTGCAGTAAGCTTTTTAGGCAATTTTGTTTAAACAATGCTGGTTCTTTTAACCTTCGTGTTCAAAAAAATTTCTGGCTATTTACAGGAGCGATACTTTGTAGGCCGTGGTCTTTATGAAAGGACCAGTGATTATATAAGGTTTGTTGTCGTTCTTTTGGAAACTGGGTATATCATGTTTGTTGTTCATTATTTCTCTGATACTTGGTTTAATGACATATTTGTTTTCATTGTTGAAGTATTTACTCTATGTGGGTATTCTGAGGACTTTTTCTTTTGGGAATATTGTTTTCTCTTTGGGGTCTAAAATTTGTGGTCAAGAATATATCTGGTGTTTGATTTCTTCCTCCAAAGAAATTCTTTTGCACCTTTCTGGTCCATTGTGTCCTGTCATTTTATCTGGTCCATTGTGTCCTGTCATTTTAACTTTGTTTTTATGTTTGGAGAATGTAGCTGTTCTAGTATTACTTCCTATCTACATTTTGAAGCTCAGTGTTTTCCGTCCTTTACTGCTAAGAATTATTAATCCTCCTGCTTTTTGTTGCATGTTTTATTGGTAAATCTCTTGTATATCATATGAAGGAAGGTAATACGGATTTAATGGGTCATTCAGAGAACTTTCTGAAATATGCACAAGCAACTGTTCTACAATTGAGTGTTCCTTATTTTCATTGATTTTGACTGAACAAGCAAACAGCCAAAGCTCAAAATAATGTATACAAAAATAGTTGATATAATGCAACTTGGTAATTGTTAGAAGCTTTCTATAGTTGAGTGAGGAAGTTGTATGGTGGCAAGGATTTAGCCTAAAAGATATCGATGCCAGTATCATGGCTGATGGTATTGTCATCTATTTGTCTCCGAAAAATGGCAGGGTTTCAATTTTCATCATATCTTTTAGATGGCTGGTAAGGGAGACGACTATGTGGTCCTTTAAATAGAGGTCAAGCATGTGATTAGATAATTGAGGTCAAGCGTTCTCTCCTTGACTCTGTTCGGTTAGAAAGAAATTTATGATGGAAAATGAAAGTAGTAGAAAGTGAAGTGAATGAAAGGATGGGAAAAATAAAATATATTTTTTTGTATGCATTTGATTAGTATGAAATTTTTTGTTAAAAAACTATAGAAAAATTTATGTAAGTAGTAAAATTAAATTATCCTTATCATGTCAGTCTTACACATCAGTAAGGGCTATTAATTATATTCTGAGGACTTAAAACCCAATAATTTGACATTAAAATTTCTAATTTGTTTTTTTTTTTTTTGGTGTGACAAAATTATCTAATGTATGCTAACCACATGATTCGAAAGAGAGTGAGATTTGGAGAAGATGAAGGCAAGAATGTAATCCCAGTATGCCTCTCTTATGATAAGATAATGCCATTATCTTTCTCTCTTTTTTCTATCGCTCAAATGGGGAAAATGGTAAGTAGGCAAAACAGGAAAAAAGGCAACTCTCAAATTAATATTTTTTCCCCGGAAACCAAAGTGGACGTTTGCAGGAAAATCTGGTAGTTGAGGGAAAAAAGACTTTCTCGAGAAATTTGCTCAAATGGGGAACATGGTAAGTAGGAAAAACAGGAAAAAAGGGCTACTCTCAAAGTAAATTTTTTTTCCCGGAAACCGAAGTGGACGTTTGCAGGAAAATCTGGTAGTTGAGGGAAAAAAGACTTTCTCGAGAAATTATAGCGTCTAGCTCATCAAACACATTAATTTTTTACTTCATTTTCCTGCACTTTCTAGTGTTTTCATGCTAAACAAACGAAGCCCCTTGTGTATTAACAGTGATTCTTTGTGTTGGCAGACTCTTTTTTTTTGTGTGGAATTTCTGTTGGAGAGCATAGTTCGGGAAATGTTTTCTTGCTTCTTTTGGATGCATTGTCCAGACAGCATTTGTGTCCCCCCTTTGGTGCTTTTGGATGGGGTTTTTTCTCATAAAAAATATACAAGCCACTCGTATTTCTACAGTACAACTTACATTTTGACTTCAAAACTAAACGTTCTCTAATTCTTGCATCTGGCTGGAACTTTCATAGTCTCCTGACTTCATTTTTTTTTTTAAATCTTGAAGCAGTCTTACAACAAACAGTGCCTTATTATCTTTAGTATCTTAAAGTTAAAACTTCATCTCTCTTTCAACTCTCACAGGTATGTGTTCTACTGGTTGGTGATCTTTGGGTGCAAATTCTCATTTGCCTACTTTCTCATGGTAAGGCATAAAGCCTTTACCTTAATTCCATTCAATATTTTTTTTGGGGTTTTTTGGTCATACGTAGTTGGAGGCCCATGGTTTATGACAGACTCATACTTCTTATTACTTTTGCAGATTCAACCCCTGGTGGATCCCACCAATACTATTGCGAACCTTCCAGCACTGCCATACTCATGGCATGATTTGTTCTCAAAGAGTAAGCCCAGTTATTTTTTTGTTCTTATAATAAATAAGGCGTATAAGGCCTCATATCATATGCACTCCTAACACATCATATATCCTTTCAGTGGCATTCTTATCATTTGTCCATAATGCAATGATATAATGCTACAAAACATCCAACTTTATTCAAATTAAGTTGTAGAAGTTACTAGTACTCCTGCCTCCTGCACACCCAAAAAGAGAAAAGATAAAGTAGGTGTAGAAGTAAACGGAGGGAAGGTAGGCTGGCTTACCTTCCATTTCTTTGGTTGACCAGGAAGGGGAGATGGAAAAGAATGCCGCTTCTTTTCACCAGCAAATTATTATATAGTAACATAATTTCGTGGTTTTTTTTTTAAAAATTTTTCACTTAATGTAAGAGGGGACGGGAGCCCTTTGAAGGAGATCTATGACAAATTTGGTATATGTTCTTGTGGCTTTTCTTTAATAAAGACCTGTTGTAACTCATCACATATTTTAGGAAAAAAAAATTATATGTTTTTATAATAAGTGTGGTGCTTATGTTTATATACCTATATTAGCATGTTACACCTTCCTAGGATCCATCCTGCTTAAAAATGTTATGATTGCAACTATATTTATTTATTTTTCATCTCTTAGATTCTCTTGTCATATTAATGGCATGACATGCGGATTTCTAAATAGATTTAGTGTGTGGTGTCCATTTTCCATTGATTATCAATGACTGCTATACCCTAAAGGACTCGCATGTCTTGCCTTCTTTGGAAAAGAAAATGTCTGAGACCTTGGTTGTAGGGCTGTTGACTTTGGCATAGTGCTATGCTAGCTGAAATTTGATTTGTCTAATGCATTTTAGAAAGCCCAATGTGAGGATCTTTTGGTAGTACTTCCAAGTATGAATGTTCCAAGAGATGGTGGCTTTAAATCACAGTATATGGATGTCACTTGGGATGGATGGTAGTGACGTTTTATTTTTCTGAAAATAGTTTAGCTTGCATGCAAGAGCTGTTTGCATGAAGCTTCTTCTCTGTTTACTGTTGGTAATGTTACAGTTACAAAGTATAGGTATTTGTTGCTGATGTATGTTTATGCTTTCTTTTGCAGACAATAATAACATCCTGACCATAGTTAGCCTTTGGGCTCCTGTTGTGGCTGTAAGTGTTGTCCTTTATCCATTAGCTTCTTAGCATTCATTTTATAGTGATTCGGTTTTTGTGTAGTCTGTGTACTCCAACTTTAGAAATGCCATTAACGCAGTTTTTTTGTCAGATGAATTTCGTCAAGGTCAAGTTGGTAAACATTTCTGATATGTCGTGCTTATATCAGTGTAGGATTATGAATCCCCAATTGTGATAATAGATGATTGTTTGAAAATAATGTATTAGGGAAACAATTGCTGGCATGAAAATGACAGTCGATGTCCAAGATATCAGTTGTACCTTGTTCTGACTAGGTTCTATTTTCACCACAAAAAATCTTAATCCGGTCACTTATTGGAGTACTATGGCACTTCTGGATAGGTGTTATTTTATGACACCTAATCTGTGCTGCCTACTTTTTCACCTCTCTCCACTTGACAAAATTTGGGCTAAGTGTTCGATAATTCATGGTCGTGGCACATTATCTGGGTACTTGCATTTTTATCCTCCCAAATTTCTTTCAATATCTGCCCATGAACTACTTGAAACAAGATTCATGCAGGCAACTGGGACAAAATCTTGTCAAGTTGAGAAGGTTACTTGACTAGGGGAATGCTGATCTTTTCTCTTTCCTTTTCTATTCTTCAGATATATCTCATGGACATTCACATATTTTACACTATCTTATCTGCGGTTGTTGGTGGTGTAACTGGTGCAAGGGCTCGGTTAGGCGAGGTATTACCATATTGAGTTATGGATTTTCATGTGAATATTCAGCCTTTTCAGTGATCTGTTTTAGGCATGCATAGGCTCTGCACCCAAGTCAGAGATCATATTCTCCATTCACTTCCAAGACTCATGGCTGTCTGATCACTTAAAGTTATATATTTTCGGCAGATACGTTCAATTGAAATGTTGCATAAACGCTTTGAGAGTTTTCCAGAAGCTTTTGTCAACAATCTTGTCTCATCACCGACAAAAAGGTAACTGTCTTTTTGTTTGCTCATAGATATTGGCTCTGGAACGGAATAAATAAGTGGTGTGTCAATTCACGTGAATCTAAAATCTATGTAATAATTGTACCTATTTGTAATGCTAGGAGCTAAATGAAATATTGTGTGTGTCTTATACTGCTCCAGTTGGTCAAATTAGTGGTAGCTATTTTGTTATAAGTCTGCATTCTTTTCTTCTAAATGGGTTTTGGAAACTGAAAATAGTATATGATTGGGGTTTGTTTACCGTGTGTAGTTAGAGGTGGCTTGGTCGAGTTTGGTAGTAAACCTCCGGTTGCTCTCTGCTAGATCTTAGTTCCATGTGTATATGATCTTGGTGCTTGTTCATGTCTGTATTGAAAACAATTTGGCTTTAGAGGAATCTAAGGAGTGTGATAATATTATTAATATGGAATTAGTCTATGAAAATCTTGTTGATAGGTTTCTGTTGTTTTATCGAGAAAGTAGGTGGGGATCTGGCTGTGTGTCTTGCCACCTTTTGTTTGATGCTGGAGATTGCAATCTTTTTGATAAAAAACAATTGAATTTTCAAGCATAATTAATCAAGTAGAAGGACGGACAACACAATCCAATTTTTTTAGCCCAAGAAACATATCTAAGGCATGCATCTCACTCTGCCCAAATCACCAACAGCAGCTGAAAAAGTGTATGCCTCCAAAGCATTTGGATCTCTTTCCTTTCTTACAATTTTTATCACCATAATTGCACATGCTCGATTCATGCAACTTGCCACCGAATATTGGATTTTGGACAGGCTACTTAAATATCAACTAGTAAATTTTATTATGTGTTCAGGCTCTTCAATCTTCATTGATATAATAGAGTGCTTTGTGGTTTGAACTCATGTCATTACTTTGTGGTTTGAACTCATTGATATAATAGAGTGGCTAGAGTTTGTTGTTTCTCCTTTTGCCTTTTCGTTTTGTGAATTAGCATGTGGACCAAGTGCTAAGAAGTGATGAAGTTTGTCTACTGCAATACTCTTCAAGAGTGTTAAAGCTCTTATATGTCCTCTACATTGATCGATCCAAAGCTAATGATGTTTTCATGGCAATCTTATGCATAGAGTGAAGTTCTCTTAGTTGAGGCCATATATATAGTTTGCCATCGTTTTATTGGGTTGAGATATACTCACGGTGTGAATATGTTGCGAGTTTATCTTCCTTTTGATGCTCCATTCACTGTAAAACAATGTTATCAGAACCGGAGCGAACCGGCTAGTTGGACCGTTCAACCTCGAATCGGGACCTAAAATGGTCCAATTCTTTAGTTAGACCGTATAAGGACTCAAATTGGTTGAGAACCGGAAAACCGGCCGGTTTTAGACCAAACTTGTGAACCAAATGGTTTGTTCAAACCGGACGGTTGAAATTTCATTAAAAAATCCTCTTTTTAGGCCATTTTGCCCTAAATCAATCTCATGCATAGACCATTTACACTTTGCACTTTAGTTCAGTGGCCACTCTTAGGTGAGGCGACCACTTTGGCGACGAACAGAAGCTCTAGGGAGGCGATCACTCCAGCGATGAACAGCAACTCCAGGGAGGTGACCACTCCGACGACGAATAGCAGCTCCAGGGAGGTGACCACTTATCGATTACTCTCCCCTCAAAGTTCCACGTTGAACTCGGTCAGCCTCTCTAGGGACGCTTCAATCGCCTCTCTCTCTTTCACTGCGTGTATGCCAGCTAATCGTGTATGCTAGCTGATGAATTCTTTATTCATCAATTTTAAAGGCAACATATGTGGTTGCCATTTGTCTTTATGAGTTTATTCATCAATCTTTATTCACTCTTAAAAAAAAAAATCAATCTTATTCATTAATTTTTGGCAAATTATATCTATTGTGGATATGTTTTCATATTTTTTAGCTAAATTATTATATATTATAATATTTATGACATTTTTTATTGTTTTATTATATGACTAGTTCGGCCAGTTGACCCAACGGTTAAACCAATAAACCATTGACCCAACGGTTAAACCAATAAACCATTGACCCAGTCCCTTTACGGATTAGATGACCGGTCCGGTTCTGATACACTGGTCTGTTTGATTCTCATACCGTCACCGGACTCTCATAGAAATTGGAACCTACAGTCTAGTTATCTATGACAATCCAGTTCATGAATAGAAGTCACCAACAGTTATGTACACTTGTTTTGTTTGAGCAAGATGTGTGGTGTGTGAGACTTTTGAGCAGAGGCTGGAATGTCCAGTTTTACTGATAATTCGACTTCTATTTTTCTGCTGTGTGTTGTGTTGATGTTGACTTTCTTGTGAATTCGAATAATTTGTCTGCAATTAAAAATTGTCAACTGTGTCGAGTTGGTTTATGATGCTTTAATTATTTGTATGCTTTTGCTTTCTTTATGTTTACATTTGAGTGACTTGTTTGTTGCTGCGCTCTTACAGGATACCTTTTAACAGACAATCATCTCAGGTGGGTAATGTCTTTGAATTTTTATTGGCTTCTTGTGTTCTATATGGTGAGTAATAGAGTATCAACCTTGCTACAGTAGATATCTTGACATGTCTGCTATTTTAGATTCAGTGTTTATGTTGACAGTATATTGATAGCAGTAGACATGAATGTGCTTGGTATTTGTTGTATTTCATCAAACCTTCTTAAAAGACTCCATTTTATACTTTCAGCTACAAATATTATAGAGGTAAACTTGAGTGGTGACATTCAGTAGTTAAACATGTGGTGATCTTTGTTGTAGCTTGGGATCCCGTGACAAGTAGTTTTATCCACTTCTGACTTTTTGCAATATAATTTTATGGTTCACCTCTCATTTCATAATGATCTTTATTTGAGGTTACTCTACTGTCATGTTCATGTACACCAGTTTTTTGCCTTATGTATGGGGGCTATCCATAACTTTTTAACTTAGGGCATTTTAAGTGACAAAATGTTATTGTTCATACAGCTGCGTTTGTTCGAAAGCTTGTGTTGTTTTGTGCATATGCAAGGCTCTTAAGATATCTGTATGAGCCCTATGGTTCATTAGATTTTCCTTTTTTTCTTTTGGTTCTAGTATTTCTTCATGGAGGTGATTGTAATTTGCTCCTTTCCCCCTAGAAAGAAGCTTGTGTGCTGCAAATATTTGTGTTCTGGCGTCTATGTATTTTTCTTCTGCAGTGCTTCCTGTCTTTTGTAGGCTTGGATCTTTTTGAATGAATATATTTATGGTTAGCAGAGTTCCCAAGATACCAACACGACACTTGCAGCCATCTTTTCACCATTTTGGAATGAGATAATCAAAAGCTTGAGAGAGGAAGATTACATTAGCAATAGGTATATGGACGAAGAATGCTACTTGGTTATGAAAACTTGGATCTTCTTTCATTGTCTTGTCTGCTTCGTTCGATGTTAGTATCTATTTATTTCATGGATCTGTGCATGAATCTGTTCCTCAGGGAGATGGACTTGCTTTCTATGCCTAGCAATGCTGGAAGCCTGAGATTAGTTCAATGGCCGTTGTTTCTTCTCAGCAGTAAGGTGCAACCGGCTATACTGTACCTGGCTAACTTGATTGCCAACAAATTTTGTAGTTGGTCGCATCTTATTTCTGTTTAACACTTCATTTTCTGTGCAGATCTTGTTGGCTATTGATTTAGCTCTGGATTGCAAAGATACACAATCTGATCTTTGGAGTAGAATATGCAGGGATGAGTATATGGCATATGCTGTTAAGGAGTGCTACTATAGCGCTGAAAAAATTTTGCTTTCCTTGGTTGATGGAGAAGGGAGACTTTGGTATGGTTATATTTAAACTTTGGCTGCATGAACTGGGCTTCTGTCTTCTCAGTTAGTTTTTATTTGTTCCATTTGATAAAGACACTTCGTAGTTCTCAGGGAGGTTCCCCCATGGGGCAAAAAACCATTCTCTCCTGAATGCATAACTTCCACTTTGACAGGGTTGAAAGGATTTTTCGTGAGATCAACAGTAGTATATTGGAGAATTCACTTGTAATAACCTTAACTCTTAAGAAGCTGCCAGCGGTTCTTCAAAAATTTACAGCATTGACCGGGCTCCTGGTAAACTTCTGTTACATATAAGCTTGGTGATATGTTTGACCTATATTAGTGCTTCTATGCTGATATCTCATCCATTTTTTTTCAATTATAATGTCTTTTCATTAAGTTGCTTGGAGCTTTAGATTGATGCCTTTACCCTTAAAGAAAGAAGAAAAAAATGGTATTTGACCTCATGTGGTCATAAATGAAGTTTTCAATTTTTTCCAGAAATAATAGTGCGGTGCAGTTCTTTGTTGTAGTGATTTCTGTTCTAGTTGGGCTTAAAAAATAAATATTTTTCTTAAAGACTTCTGAAATTTAGCACAAATTTACTTAATCCCTATCTTAGAAGCACAGATATTTGCTGGAGAGGGGTCGTTGGAGTGTCAAACACTGGACTGACACGGCTATAAGTATCCTCAATAGTGAATTAACTATTCAATTGGACAAGGACACTATATGATCAGGATACGACTAGGCCTTTTTTTTTTAAATCTCACGGCTGTTAACTATTAACAGGGGTGTAGGATTTCTTTATTTTGGTTTTCTGTTTTTTGTTATGTAATTTATGGACTATGAATGTTATGGATTTAATGATATTTAATTAAAACAGTGGATGTTTAATCGAATTGACCGTGCTTCCTAGATTCCTATTAATGGAATGAATCGTGGATGTTGTTAATAATGCAAAAAGAAGAAAAAGATTCTGAATTTGTTGAACTTTTGGTTAACAAGATGGCGTTATGGGTTCAATATGTGGAAATATTTGGAAGAACTATGAAACATCCTCCTGCGTGAATCATTTATAAATTTTGGTGTCATAGCAGTACGAGGAGTAATGTGATTGTGCCCTGCCCTGGTAAATATTTGGGAGTACTTTACCTACTTGCGATTATCTTTCAATTGCGATAATTTGCATCTTCATGTTTGTACACATTAAAAATTGTAATGATATAAGTAGCATCCAGTTGTTTTGAATTGTTTTGTTCAGGGGTTACCTCTTACACCACCGACCGTTTAAAGAATTTATGCTTGGTTGACCCACTTATAAAGGCTACAAGTCTTTTCTTCACTTTTGCAACAAGTCACAAGTGTTTACCTTACCATGAACAATCATTCACACAAACACATGTACCTTTATAAGCACTCTAGCCTTCCAAATCATCTTGTGAGGATCAAAGAATGAATCACTAGGAACATCAACCAATTGTTGAAAATAGGAACTACAAGAGAAATTTCCAGAAAAATCGGGAGACCAAACTCTCTTATAATTAACCGTTGCAGCCAAATAGGCAAAATTAAGCAAAGGCAGAAAATATACCAACACCCTGAGAGCCAAAAAAATTGAAGTTTCAACCCCCATAAGAAGAAAATGAGAATTGTAAAGCAAGCTTTTCACAGAGGCATTATGAAAACCTGAAAATGTATAAAGGCTAGGAAATAATGAAGCAAAGAATGACTCACCATTCCAAGTATCCTCCCAAAAATGAATTCTCTCCCATTACCCTCTCGCAAGGTAATATTCTCCCTGAACCAAGCGAATGTGGAACCAAGGGAATTCCTTTTATTGTTTTAATGGTCGAGAACAAGAAGGCTTTTTGCTTAGATACTTTTAGGTTGTATGATGTATCTCTATCTTTTACTGATTCGTTATTTACTCCTAGTTCAAGAAGTAGTTTCTTTGAAGTGTTAAATTTAGTTCATAGATTCATTCTTGTTCTTTGGTCCATTTTCACTACATAAATGTTATAGATGCGGGATGATCCTGAACTTGCAAAAGGTGCTGCCAAAGCCACATATGAGCTGTATGAGGTTGTTACACATGATCTGCTGTCATCGGATTTGAGGTATGCAATTGGCTAGACATTACTGCTTTCAAGATTATGTATTGCCTGTTTACCTTTTTCATCTAAAATTTAAAGGGTTAACATAAATATACAAAAATACGTTGATCCCCAGAGAGCAGCTTGATACCTGGCATATATTGGCACGAGCAAGAAATGAAGGGCGCCTATTTTCTAGGATCGAATGGCCTAAAGATCCTGAAATTGTAAGCATTTGTGTTATCTTTTTTCGTACGTATTTTATATAGCTAGAGCTGCTATAATTTTTGTGTTCTTTTTGGGCACAGAAGGAGCAGGTGAAACGGTTGCACCTATTTCTGACTGTGAAGGATTCTGCAGCAAATATTCCAAAGAATCTTGAAGCGAGAAGAAGATTAGAGTTTTTCTCAAATTCGTTATTTATGGACATGCCTCCAGCAAGGCCAGTTTTTGAAATGATGCCATTCAGGTATATTTTATTGAATTTTCCCTTGGACGTGACTTTTCGTTTATTTTTTCTAATATATTTTGTCTTTCTTTGTTTGGTTTTGTTTGAGAATAGTGTCTTCACTCCATACTACAGCGAGACTGTACTTTATAGTTCCTCCGAGTTGGTGGCTGAAAATGAAGATGGAATATCTATTATTTTCTATCTGCAAAAAATTTTTCCAGGTTTTTTTTTTCTTTTGGAATTGTTTGGTCGTCTTATTTTATATTGTTTTCCATCTTTGTCCAGAATAACATTAAGCCTTAGTATTCCTGAGAACATCAGTTGTCTGTTAAAGTTACATGAATACAGATAAAATTTGTTCAACCTAATATTTTGGCTGTTATATGTAGTGATTTCCAACTTAATTTTTCGTATTGTAGATCCTATTTTTGTTGTAGATGCATGCCAATACCAATGGCAATCAGCAACTGTCTCATTTCATTTGCATTCCCTTTCTGCATATTTTTTTGGCTACTTCATTTCATTTGCATTCCCTTTCTGCATATCTTTAAAGTTTTATCTTTCATTTTTGTACTTTCGAACTTCTTGATTTAATCAAAAGGGAGCTTCATTGCATGTGATACCTATACAGGTTTTTTTAAAAAATTCAGAATGACTTGATCTTTTGCAAGTAAGAATTTAAAAGTGTGAATTCATGTATTTGTTCCCGTGTGTATATCAGGCTAATTCGAAGTAGAAGTATATTTGTGATTTGTCATAACTTTCTCATGATACACATACTATTCCCTCGAATGTTTTTAGTCTGAAAGTTTATTACTAACATATGATTCCCCCTAAGAGTCCATGTTTGTGTAGTTTCTATGATTTGTTCTGGAACAGGTGTATTATGTGTAAGTGCTAGGGAATTTAGTGGTAAATTATCTCCTTTTTGATGGTTGGGGTGGTGGAGAGATCCAATTGCTGAGATTCATGGTGTGGGTTAATCCTTCCTTACCTATAACCACGAACTCTTATGAATGTGGTGTTTTATTCAAGGACAGCTGCCTAAAAACTTTTCCAGCTAGGCTAGTTGCCTTCTGTAACATTGATTTTTTGTCCATTGTTACTTGTTGCTGCTGCTTTGCAATAACATATTTACAGTTGTCTCTGTTTGTCGTTTCATTGTTGCTGCTTGTTTGAGCATGATGCTTTATCAAAGTTTAAGTTTTCCCTTGCTCCTTTCTTCTTTTATTCTCCCACTACACCTTGTGTATTGGACTTGTTTAATCATACGAAACAGTTTGGTGATTCATTGGTCTGTGCCCCTCTGTACCTTTTTTTGTTTGGTTTGGACCTTTTTTTGATGGAAATATGGGTTATAAATAAATTCCTTTCTGGTAAAGTTGATGTATGTCTGCCTCACCACTGTTGGAATGACACACAGCTTGTTTGTGAATGCAGGAACAAATCGGATCACTGCCTTTTTTTTTTTTAGTTTTTATATTTATTGGAGTTGCATTAGGTCATACTAGAACATGAATTTGGTAGATTCGAGTGGTAAAACATGTCTTTGGCACGGTTTTATTGTTCATATCTTTATTCACATCTAGCTGCTCATTGGTAATACTGTTTCTTCTGTTTCCGAGATATGTGAATGATGCAATGTGTAATTAGGTGTTGTGGCCACATCTTACTAAAATTCATTATTAGCTGATGCTGCATAAATGTACAGTTGTGCTTTTAAAAAGATATGCTTTGATGCTCAATATGCATGGACTTGCCTATACTTCCCCACAGAAATCAAAAAAATTATCTAGAAAAAGTCACGGGACAAACTTTTAGGTTATTGTATATTTGTATCGAATTAGAATCTAACTTAAAATTGTGCTTAACCAGGATAATTGCAAATGTGAAGCCTCTGAGTAAAAATTTATGTCTGGTTCTGGATATTTATGTGTATGCTGTGATTAGTGTTTATGGTAGTATAAATTGAGTTCATTCATTTGGCATCAGTCAATTCAATAACTTGATAATTGTCCTTGGATACTTTTCTGGCGCTGGAAAGATCAATATGAGGGTGAGATTTTTCTTTCCCTGATTAACTTCTGAGAGGTCCTTTCTCATTTCCTTACAGTGGTCTAGTTTTTGAAATCTTACATTACCTTTCTTTTGCATTTTTTTTTGCTAACTTTAGATGAATGGGCAAATCTTTTGGAACGAATCGGTCGACCTGATGCTGGGGAAGTTGAACTTCAAGAAAACCCTACTGATTCGTTGGAGCTCCGGTTTTGGGCATCTTATCGAGGCCAAACTCTAGCTAGGACTGGTTAGATTCACCCATTATTGATTCTCTATTTTCCAAATAGGATTATGTATTTTATGGTAAATTCAAAAGGCTTTTAGGGTTTCCTTGATGTATAACCGCTTAGTGTTTTAATAACGGGGTATGCAGTACGTGGGATGATGTATTATAGAAGGGCATTAATGCTACAAAGTTATCTGGAAAGGAGATCATTGGGAGGTATTATCTTTTGGGGATTCTTGTGGCCTCTTATGTTTATTTTAGTGGAAGCGATGTGGGTCATGATGTTGTTTTATCTTTTTCACCGACAGAGGATGAGTATTCTCAAATGAATTGCCTCACCACACAAGGTTTTGAGTTGTCACATGAAGCCAGGGCTCAAGCTGATTTAAAGTTTACTTATGTGGTTTCATGCCAAATATATGGCCAACAAAAACAACAGAAGCGGCCTGAGGCAGCTGATATTGCTCTTTTGTTGCAAAGGTCTGATTAACAATAATTCTTTTTTCTTATTCTCTAGTGCAAGTCATCTCTTCTTACTCTGTTCAATTTCGGTTCCAACTCAAGTGTATCAAAATTTGGTTAAATAATTGTTAATTCTTTTGTGTCTTTCAAAGAGTGGTGGAGTAATAAGTGCGAAAAGAAAAGTCAATATTTGGTCTAATATCCCGCAGGGATCTTCGTTTCTTTATTATCAAGGTACGAAGAAAATTGGCTTCCATAATGGTTGGCTGTGGGGGACATGGGTGGCAGATTCTTGGGTTTCTTAACTTAAGGCTTGAGCATTAGATATTGTAGCTCAAGAAATTGTTTCCGTTTAATGGCAAAACTAAGAATCAAAGCATATTTCTGTGTGTTCCTTTATTTGTATAGGATGTTGTGCCTTTTTTTTGTTTCAGCGGGGGGGGGGGGGGGTGGGTTGCTTATTTGATGAGGGGGGGATGTTGCTGAGAAAAGGCATTTTCATGAAGTTGTTAGTGGAGTTTTTTCTGACTGAAGGGAGGAGGAAGCTAAAATGTAGCCAATAGTTATGGAGATGGTAGCATTATTGTTGCCAGCTCCTTGACTGTCTCTGTTTATAATTCTTTGCTTTGTCATTGAGCCTTAACATGTGTAGCTGCAGAATAATGAAGAGGAGATTTATAATTTTGGGTTCAGAATCTTGGTTATGAAATTCTATAGTACACATACATGTAATTGTGGTATTTGATTGATCACTTCTTGTTACTGCTTGAGAGCTGACAGCTTTCAGATTTAACTTGTTATTAGGAATGAAGCACTTCGAGTCGCTTTCATTCATGTGGAAGAGAGTGGTGCAGCAGATGGGAAGGTTGCCAAGCAATTTTATTCAAAGCTTGTTAAAGCTGATGTCCATGGGAAGGATCAGGTTCACCAAAATTCTTTTATCACTCTTGATCTTTGTTTTTCATTTCTTGTCTCTGTCTCAGAACGTCTTCTTTATCTTTTTTCCCAGAGCAACTTTGCGATCCCTTAAAACAAAAAGCAAACTTAAATGTGTAGGTTGCTATTCGTCCATTGCTTTTTTTGATATAATCTCATTCAAATTCTGCCACCTGCGCATTCCTTCAAAATCTCAAAAGACCGTCTTAGTTTGTCTTTTTTGTAACGGATATACGTCAGAATGTATAGTGCATAGGAAATTAAACTTGACATAAGGAGGTGATTTTGGAATTTTTAAAAAAAAAAAATTCCTTCAAGTTGTAAATGCATTCATTGAGTTTTCTCAAAGAAGAGGTGTTCCAAGGGAGAGACTGTTTGGGGCAGCATTTTTAGTTCAGGCACTGGGTCAGAATGACTCTCTCCTGTTTTTATATATTTGCTAGATATATCATTAGGGTTTATCATTCTGAATATTTTGCATCCAATCAGGCATAAACATCTGTGTTGTAGAAATCATCTTCTTCCAGTATTTTCTTTTCTTTGTAGTTACTAACTTCAGCCTATTTGATTATGCTAGTTTATTGTTGGCAACCTGTAATGAATGTTTTTGTTTTATTGCTATAAATTTTATCTATTTTTTCCCCTAAGGAGGTTATTAGAATATCTAATTTTGTCCTGAACCATTTGGAGTGTTGTTTCTTTGATTGTTTTTCTGGTATTAGTAAGTCTTCATTGTTAATGGAAATCATACAGCGTTACAAATTAGGTGGTACTACGTCTGTTTGCTTTGTATTTTAACCCTTTTCCTGTTATGGTCTGGTAAGTGTGTCATTTAACCCATTTATGGGTGTCTTTTAAGAATGTTATACTGTGCAAAACCAATATTATTTAAGGCAATTCAGTTTTGTTCATTGTTTATAAGAATTCATAGGCTTGTAATGCTTGAATTCTATTATCGATTGGAGTTTCTATACATAATACAAATTTATTCTTCATTGGTGTGTTCTGTTCAAGCAAAGTTTTGATCTTTTATCCCTCCATTTTCCTGTTACTATTTTCTTGTGGCATAAGCTTTTGTGGGAGGCGGATTTGGCATGAGTTACCCCTTGTAATTGAGCTTCTCTTTTGCTGATGCGTTTTATGGTTTTAGAAATGGTAAAAAAGCTTCAACTTAAAGGAAATGTGGGAATTTGGATGGAGAGGAACCATAGAATATTTGAAAGAAAGGAGGAGGAAAAGGATTGTTATGGGATAGAGTTAAGTTATTGGCATTTCTTTGGGACGTGGTTACTAATGAGTTTTGTGACCCTTCTTTGTTGGTTCTTCAACTAAACTGAAAAGACATTGGTAATCAATAGTTGTGAACAATTTTTGCTCTTTTCGGTGGATAAGAAAAAAAAATTGTACTATGCGTAGATTTGTTGTTGGACTTCATTTCAGAACATGTTAGAATGAATCTTCTGATTGTTTCCAGCACGCGTTGAATACCCATTATGGGTTTCATTGTTGCTTCTGGTCTCTCTCTCTCTCTCCCCATCAAAATTATTAGTATTCTATTGCTTTTAACATGATTTTGGAATTAGGCTTTCCTTGAGTTTGTAAATATTTTTCTTTTCAGCTTTTATCTGATTTTCATCTAATGTAGGAAATATATTCCATTAAACTTCCTGGAGATCCAAAACTGGGAGAAGGGAAGCCTGAAAACCAGAACCATGCTATAGTCTTCACTCGAGGGGAAGCTGTTCAAACCATCGACATGAATCAGGTGAGTCATTTATCATTTTTATTTGTGGCACAGTGGTTTAAATATATCCATCATGTTTTAAATTGATTATTGCAGACTTATATTTGATCTGGCGTTTTTTGCCGGAGTGTATGAAGTGACTATTTGATTTGCCTTAAATTATTATATAGAGGTTGTATATCTTGATATGGTGTTTGATCATTTTGCGAAGGCGCTAATCTTGCTGAATAAGCTCGTTGTGTAACTTCGCCTTGTTTAGTGTTGTGGGTTCTTTGTGCCAAAACATGTGGGAATAAGGGGGACACTGTTGTGTGCCTTCCTTAATCAGTTAATCTTGTTTGTGCTAGATTAGAGTAGAGAATGGTGGCAGTGCCCTTCATCTGAAAGAACTGGTTATTAGAAGTTTTGAACACCTACCTTCTATTTGAGATGGAGAGGAAGTTTCTCCCAATAGCCGAGGGTGAAAGGTATTTGTATTCAGGACTGATGATTATTGTTGCAAGTGTTAACGTAGAAAGGATAATTTGTCTTGTTTCACAAAGTCCATAGATCTTGGAATTAGTTGTTGCCATGGTTCAAGGTGACAGTATTGATCATCAATTCGGAAAATACTTTATGATATACATCGGTCGTGGTGTCACGACACGATATTGGGCGATGCACAAAAAATACAAGATAGAAGCCCCAAAAAAATTCTAAAGAATTATAGAAAATTTTAAAAAATGTAAACAAAAAATCCATCTTGGCCAAATACATCATCTAGCACATTAAATATATTGAAAATGAAATGGAATAGTTCTCCCAAAAATATTTATTAGATGTTCAATGAAAGCATTTCATAACATATTTGAGCCATATTAGGTAAATTAATTAATATAAGAAATTAATTTAATGCAATAGATAAGTTACTTTGTTGATGCATTAAAATTAAACCATACAATCAGACCGAAATACCCTACGAAAAACAATATTACATTTTATTATTTGACAAAAACATAATAGCCCCCTTCACCAATAAAAGGACAATTGTCCAAAACAAAAGAAATAATGAACCATTATTTCCTAAAGAAGATCAATCGTCCCATTCCAAACTTCAGTTTAGAGAGAGAGATAGATAGAGAAATTGCGAAATAAAGAGAGGGAAATCATCAAGGAAGGAAAAGGCTTGCAAGTAGAACTTCAATCCAATGAACGAGGAGTCAAGGACCATATGACTTTCAAAACAATTGTTATGATGGTATGTAGGGGTGACAATCATGTCGTGTTGGATTTGTGTCATGTTATTTTGGGTTCGTATCGAGCACTAGTCAATCTTGATCCAACCTATTTAACTAATCGTGTCGATTGACTTATTTATTTTTATGTCAGGTTCGAGTTCGTGTTGACCTATATAAACCTTTAATAAAGAACTTAATGCTAAGATTTAAGTCTAAGATTTTATTATCAATTAATTGAATGCATGCTCATACTATTTCTATAAATTAAAAATATCTTAATAAACAAAACAATAATAATGGGTAAAAATGTCTCTTTTATAAAATAATTATGTCAATACTTAATAATAATAACAAATAATTAGTATTTTATTTCTTTAATATTAGTTAATCGTGTCAATTTTGTGTTATTCGCGTTTAACACTAATTTAACCCATTTATTATTTGTGTTAATGAGTTATGTCATTTACGGGTTTGTATTGAGAAATGATTAACCCTAACTTACTAATTTCATGGCGAGTTCAAGTTGTGTTTTTGTGTTATGTCAGAAATTGCCACCCTTAATCGTATGTTTAGGCAATGCGTGAAAAACTACTTGAGTTGTATCTTAGTTACGTTGTAACACAGGAATCATGCGATATGCACAAGATTTGTTTTTTTATCTAAAGCGTGAAATAACGTTTCGTAATCCCTTTTTTTTTTAATCCTAGAACTTATTTTGCCATATTTGTATCGATTGTAAACAGATGAAGCCGTAATTGTAAGCATACAAAATGTTCATGCGGATGGAGGAAGTGAAGACTTGTTGGCATCCAATCACAATGATAAACTTGCCCTTTAATTTAAATTGGCGTTTGAGATGTAAATGGAGTTCATTGGATTATAAGAATAAATTGTTTTAGAATTTACAAGCCTATAAATTTTGGAATAGATTCTCATCCAAAAAAAAAATTTATGATGTTATTGAATTTGGTTGTAAACTTGAATAGTTGGATTGTTACAATTAGTCTTAGATCTTGAAGTCTATTTAAATTAGGTTGTAATTTGAGTTGAGATGTTATTATGATATTTTTTTATTTTGGATAAGTGAGTTGAAATTAGATTTATATTGTTTTAGGCACTATATAATATCTATGGGTATAAATGCACAAACTAATTGATATACTTTTAAAATTGAAAGTATCTTACAATACACGGTTCATGATAAAAAGTGGAGCAAAATTAGTGGATTTTTTTAGTTAAAAGTGGATATTTGTTTAACTAGCTATCGAAAAAAATTGTGATCGGCAAACGTTATACAACATTTTCATTATTGTCTTTTGAATCATAGAGATTTAGCCGGGTGAATTTTTATGTGGTTTGTTGGGATTTTACTTTAAATTATATTGCTGATCTAGGGGTGGACATGACACTGTGGCTAGAAAGATCTAAACTAGTCTTGTATAATGGTTCCCTGAGTTTTCTTATAAGGTGATATAAATTAGGGGAGCGGTAGAGAGGCTAAAACCTAGGTCTTTTTTCCACTTGGTGTGTCCCTTGTAATTTTGGGGTGGACCCTAGGTCTCTGGAAATGTTTACACAATGTATCCTATGTTCTAATGCTTAAATATTGATCTTGTAGACTACATGTTGGCAAGGATCAAAATTTCATTTCGATGCATTGTATTTCAACCAAGAAACAAAAATATTTCGGAAACATTTTTAAAACACAATAGAATGGATACAAAATTTGGGAATTTATTCCAACACATTCTGAAATATTGGCCAAAATATTTATTAACACCTCGAAACACCTCGAAACATTCTGAAATATTGATAGAAACATGCCGAAATATCTCGAAACATCCTGAAACACCTTAAAATATTGGAATTTCTATTCAATTACTAATTTGTTTCGGTCTCCTTAGAAACAAAATGTTTTGGCCGATTCGACCATTTTGAAAACAAAAATTTGATCCTGTGTTAGACTTTTTTTGGGATTGCATGTTCTGCCTGCATTCAATAGGTAACACCAATAATTTGCTTGATTTAAATTTTCTGGTTACTTTATACTTCAATTCTTTGTAGTGTGTGTTTTGCCACATTTTGGATCATATGTATGATATTTTTTTTGGGCCTTTGATCTGTTGGCCATTTTCATCTTTTGCAAGAAGTCAAGAATGTAGTAATATGCTCTTAATCTGTCACTAACTCACTGGTATGGTAATGCATAAACCTCGATTGTTTTAGACTATGCATTTGTATTTTTTGGCATATTACTGCTCTTATCTGGTTCTTTTTATATGAATTGATATGACATTATGGATTCTATTTTTATCCTCTATAAAAACTTGAATTGAAAAATATTAGAGTTACTTATGTCGTAGTAATATTTTCATTAGAAACTAGTAACATGGTTCCAACTGCAAATTAATGTTTGGTTTTTTTGAGGCTTTGTTAAAATTTGTTTGTATAATGATATCCCTTGCTTAGATTGAATGTCCTTGGCGTGTGATGCAGGATAACTACCTAGAGGAGGCAATGAAAATGAGAAATCTTCTTGATGAATTTCGAGGAAATCATGGCCTTCGATCTCCGACTATTCTTGGTGTAAGAGAACACGTGTTTACGGGAAGGTCTGGTGTATGGTTTTTGTCTCTCCAAATGCTATCTCGATTTTTTGCCATGTTGTTCTCTTACACATTTCTTTGATGGATGTTTTATGCAGTGTTTCTTCCTTAGCGTGGTTTATGTCCAATCAAGAGACTAGTTTTGTGACATTGGGCCAACGTGTTTTGGCAAAACCTCTCAAGTGAGTTATGTTCAATGTAGTCAAATTATCTCGAAGAAGTTGAGTCGTATGATCACTGTGATTAGGTTCACAAATATTCTGTTAACTTACTGTTTTTTGTTGGCTAGTTGTAAAATTTTTCTAGATCAGTGGCTTGTCATGTATTATCTTTTGGTAAATGGCTTGTCATGTATTAAATTCCCTGATTGACTGATTTTGGAGGAACTGCGTTGGCCAAGAAGGGTGGGCCAAATCTAGGAGCGTTTCATGGATCTTGTGGTGGTTATTGCATAGAGCTTCTTTCCCTTTTGGTTGGAAGGAAATATCTTCCTTGTTTACATTTGGTTTTCTTTTGGTTCATGGAGACCAGGCAAATATGTGAAGATCCTGAGTGTGCTATATAAATTGCTGACCCTGATTCTATGTTTTTTTGCTGTAGCCAATGTGTTTCTGCATAGGACGGTCTTAAATGGGTGGCCAATTTATCTCTATGCAAATCTCTAAGGAGCAAATGATGTGATGAGAAAATGAGATTTCTATAGGTCTTTATTTTATGGGCCTATTCCATCATGCCTCTTTTAAGTGCCTTCAAACAAAATTCTTTTCTAAAATGTTTTGCTGTAATAATACTTGCTTTTCTTCTCTGATGCTTTCCAAGCAAGAAGCGAAGTTATATAGATGCTTTCTAATTTTATTTGGATAATTTTAGTTTCCTGATGCTTGCGACATCCAGATCATGATACAAAGTTCATTGGGTGATCAGCTGCCTTGATTATACTTCTGGAAAGTACAACAAAGTTGTATAAGAGCTCTGTATGCATATGCACCTGTCCAATTAACACATTTAATACCCTTCTTCCCTTTTCGTCCAATTCATTCCATTTCATTAGTTCACCCAAGTCTGCTGATTTTGTGACTTTGTATGATTTTATTCATTGCATGATTTTGCATAGTTTTCCCTATTTGTCTCTGCTTCCGAAAATCAAACAGAATAACAATTACATTTATGGTAATGGTAGTAATAGTGGTGGTGGTAGTAGTAATAACTACTAAGATAACTTAGTAAATAATCAAGTGGAGAAAAGTTTTTTGAATAAAGTATCTGATTTCATTAAATAAAACCTTGCAGAATCCGTATGCACTACGGACATCCAGATGTCTTCGACCGAGTATTTCACATTTCTCGAGGTGGCATTAGCAAGTCATCTCGTGTTATCAATATTAGTGAAGATATATATGCAGGTAAGCCTGCAGGAACTTTTTATTTATATTTCTTTATTGTTGTTATTGCTTATTCCATTTGGATAACATTGTTTTTTTTTTTTTTTTATCATTTTTTCTTTCTTGCTCCATGTGTGGATTTTATTAAGGTTCCATGAATGATTAGTCAGCCTGTTCCACAACCAATACTTTATACATTATGCATGGCTTTGAAAGTTCACATATCTACCATTATTAGATGTTTTTAACTCTAGCATTATAACAAGTTAATTCTATTGTTGTCATTCAGTATGACCAAATTTCTTGTTTTATAGTGTAGAATTCTTCAGGAAACCTCTTTATCATACATTTAGATTGAAATCCCACTCTGGAAACCCTAGTTAGAAAATGCCCTCTCTTCTTTTCCAGGCTCAATACGAGGGGAAGAAACGAACTTCTTTTTGCTCTTTTTCCCTATGTCTCTATCATTTTTTCCCACTTATATTGCTGATAATTAAATTTGTGAACTACCAAATGAAGATTACACTATCAATTTCTATTGGACTCTTGAGAAATGAATAACACTTTTTGTCCTGCTGTATTCTCCCTCCATCCAAACTAACTGTCCTCTTGATGAGATTCAAATTTTTACGAGGAATAATCAAATATTTTGTACAAAGTTTTCATTGAAGAGTCCCTTTGGATATGGCTGCCATTCTTTGTTGTAGATAATGCATAGTCTTCTAAATTTTACTATGTTTGTGACTAGCAATAAGTGAGAAGAATTTATTTTACTGTCCTACTAAAAAAATGTTTTTTTAATATAGTACGGTTTTATTATAGAAGGAAAGTAAGAACAAAATATAATGTCTAGGACAAGATGTCCTTGAAGAAAAGCAAAAACAAACCATATGAAAGAGAAGACACTAAATGAAAAGAGAAGAAATTGAAGGAGATCCACCTTTCAGTTCTGTTGAAGGTACGATAAAGGCAACCCTTTAAAGTTTAAAACTTTCCGCGGCTTTGGTCCAAAGTGAAGCTATGAACGCAATTCTTTCTCATACTAATTTAATTCTTGCAAATTCTTGTATTTCCTTCTATCCAAAGACACCAAAGAAGAGCCATCAATGAACAATTCTAGAGTGCTTTTGGTTCTTTTTTCTTCCTAAATCCATAATTTAATCTGCAATAGCTTCTCCTGCACTGTAGGGCAAACACAAACCTAACTTGTCACATTGAATAAATTATTTCATAAACCCTATTGCTCAAATAAGTAGGACAAATATCAGGGCTCAATCTTTTGTAGGGCTTCTTCACATGCAACAAATCGTTAGTGTTCACTTTGTTAAGGACAATAGACCAAACAAAAGCCTTCCTTGTCGTCGTCCCTGTTAATACGCCAAACAAATGCCTCGATTTTTTGGGGAATGTTAGCTTTTCAAATAGATTTGGCTATGTAAGTTTTGGGAGCTAACAAAATGCAACTTAAAAGATCAACTAAAGAAAATAGTAGATTTATCCACTATCTAAATTCTATAATCATGAGAAGAACAAGGATAAAAATTATGGATAGTGTCGAGTGAAGAAGCTAAATCTAGAAGTTCTCGATCATAGAGAAGTTTAAAGAAATTAAAATCCAAAGTATAGGTGTTCGCCTTCAAAACAAGAAAGGAATATATAGGGAGGATACCCAACAAAAATCAAGAAAAATGTTATGAAATGCTGAATACCCTCTCAATATATAACTTTAGATCCTTTCCCCCTTTATAATGAGCCTAAGGAAGATAAAAGGACAAACCTGCGAATAGAACTGCCAAGGACTCATCTGGGATACATTATGCCCTGTTTGGTTATCGCACCCAGGTTATCGCACCCATTCTTCTAGAGATCAATCTTTATCCTAATTATCTTATGCAAAAAAGAAGTTTGCTCGTAATGGAAGTTTCTATAACTATTTACCTACAGACCTACCACATAAATATTTTAAGACACTAAATCACCGAGTCTTGAACCCGCTTCATCTGTAGGCTTACAGACTGCCTCTTAACTTAGTAAATTGTCCCACTTATCATCTCTAATCTTAAACAGAGAAAATTCCTTATTATCTTCTCCAATTTTTTAGCAACATCTATAAGGATTCTAAACAAGACCATTAATATAAGACAATGCTAGGCAAACAAGGTTTTAGGAATGTGATCCTTCTTCTAGGTGAAAGTATCCCTTTTTTTGACCAACCAATCTTTTGCTCATCCTCTCGACAATCGGTTTTCAAAAGGACAATGATCTCAGGTTACTCCATGTACAACATAGCCTGTATCTAAAGTAAACTCTTTGACAACCTCATCCTCCAAATTTATACTTATAACTCCACTTTTGGGCATATTAATTTTAAGGATAAATTGCATAAATGATACCTGAGGTGTGCCAATCTTCACAATTTGGTCCGTAAAATTTTAATTTCGTCAATTTCGCCCCCATAGTTCACACATTGAACCCATGTGCTCCTTGACACTAATTGTCATTATAAAAATTGACGAAAAATACCATGTGCCCATCACGTGCAAATTTTTAGGGGCATTTCTGGTATTTTACAAACTCAACTAAGGGCAAAACTTTAAAGAAAGAAACCAGCCCATTTCTCCCAATTCTTCCCTTACCCCAACCTCAGAAAAGTCACCTTACATCTGACACTGCAACCCCCTATCAGAACCATGGACTATCACAACCTTCATTACCACTCTACCGGCAAAAATCCATTCTCCTCCACCTCCACCTCCACCTCCACCTCCACCACAAGGCAACCGAATTAGGTACCCAACCACTTCTCCCTCCTTCTTCTCTGTCAACTGTAAGGTTCCACCACCATCTGCACCACCACACATGCCTGCAATACATCACGGCCACCTCCATGAAGATGCCACAAACACAAAATGTTTAGTAACCACAAAAATTCCAGAGAAAAAAATCAAAAGAATTTCATAGGGAGAAACAAACTTAGAGAGAAATTCAAAACCAATTCTGCTTTGGGGATGTGACAGTGGAGTTTGAATGGTGAGCAATTCCAAGGCAGCTTTGATGTCGATGGAGGTCCAAAATAATTAGTCGGTGCACTCGGCGGCAGCAGTACCACTCAACTCCACGTTTATCTTTCTCCCACCAGATAAAATACACCAAAAATTAAACCCAATAGTAGAACTCCACGTCTATCTTTCTGCAATAGTAGAACTCGCTGTACAAAACGTAACACCACTTGTGGCAACACTGCCATCCAATCTTATACCTCTCTTCCAAATTTTTTCCCCAATTACACAATTTCAAATTGTAAACATAGCCAACAAACTTATTAACAAATTGAGTAAATGTGTTTTTGTTTGGTTTGTAATGGTGGCAAAGAACCACTGTTTGCTTTGTTCCAGTGAGTTTTGTAGGTGCTTATGGTTTATTAATGATTGTGGGCATCGGTGATTATAAGCATACTAGTAAATGGTTGTGGGCAAGAGTTGGCAAGAGTTGGGGATATTGTTTGTGTCTGACACTGAGAGTCTAAGATAGAGAATGAATGAGCTGTTTAGATGATGGATGGCAGAAATTGAGAGTATTGTGTATGATGGATAGCAGCAGTGGGTTCTTACATTGAGAGAGAGAGAGAGAGAGAGAGAGAGAGAGAGAGAGTTTATTTTTTGGGGGATTTCTGGAGGAAAAAGGTCTTGTTGGAAGGGTGGTCGTTGGTGCTGGCCACCAGTTTCCATGAGGGATTTTCGAGGGTATGGTGGCCGTCGTTGGATGCTGTTAGTCTTTTGGGGTTGAGGAGGGTGAGGAAGACGAAGAGGGAGTGGTGAATGCACTTTTTCCATTGTTGTATTTGTAAAATACCAGAAAGGCCACTAAAAATCTGCACGTGATGGACATATGGTATTTTTTGCCATTTTTTTGTAATGACAGTTAGATCTAAGGATAGCATGGGCTCAATGTTTGAACTTTGGGGACAAAATTGACGAAATTATAACTTTAAGGACCAAAATTCGATGAGTGGCAAACCTCAAGGACCAGTTGTGCAATTTACCCTAATTTTAAAACATGAGAGTATCCACTTTCTCCATCTCTTTGCAAAACACTCTTTTTTAACATTACATTCACAAAATTTCAATTAACCTGATCACACACTTTTTTGAAAAATCCAGTTTAAACACAACTCCTTTGTTCTCTCTTCTCTGGTCATCCTCCACCACTTCATTCGCTACTAGATTTGTATCTAAAATTTATCTTCCTTGAATGAAAGAACTCTAATCTATAGTTACCTCATCTCCCAAAGCATTTTAAGTCTTCTAGATAGCACTTTAATGATAGTTTTATGCGGACTAGTCACAAAAGCTAATAGGGCTATAATCCTTAACTGTAATTGAGCATTTTTTTCTTAGTGACCAATATAATAAAGAACTAATACTTCTCCCCACATCTCCATTAGCATAAATAAAAAACTATTACTTCAGACAATACACGAATAATATCACCCTTAGTAGTCTCCCAATTATTCTTATGTTAAACCATAGTGAAACCATTAGGAGCTGGGCCTTTTCCTTATCCCTGTCAAACACAACTCTTCTAATCTTCTCCTCCTCCTCATCAAATGGTCTCTCAAGCTAGCTCTCTCTATCTCTCATGCGATATAGATTCCAATCAACACCTTCAATAGTTGGCCTAAAAGAAACATACTCAGTTTATATAGCTTTGTAGAATTAATTTTCTTGGTAATCAACAAATGATTTTCACACGATTCAGTTTCTAGTTGTCTAATGACACTTTTTCGTCATACCTGTAATTCTATGGAAAAACTTAGTATTGCAATCACCTTCTTTAACCCATTGAAATATAGTGATCTGTCTCAATTCTCAAACAAAGTATTGATATACCATGTTAGAGCATCCAACCCAAAATCATTTGGCAGTGGGTGAACTAGCTCATCAAGTATATAAATCAACCTTGAGTCTACTTAATTTTTCGATGTGAGAAAGCTCTCTTCACACCCTCCCTTACATGCGACTTGGACTCGCACGTGGGCTAACAAACTAAACTAAAATAGACGGACAAACAGATTGGAGCTTAGTTGAAATAGACAGACAAACAGACCGGGTAATTCAAGCCGGTGGTCTTGCATATTTAGAGCAGAAGGTCTTGCTGGGGCTGCCAATCATCCAATGCCTAACTTTGAGTCCACATTAGAGCAGAAAGTCTTGCATATTTAGCTCATATTCTAGTCTGCACACGCAAGAGCATGTTGAAGCATATATATAGTTATATACTCTAATGACTTAAGCCTTTAGATGAATGTGGGATTTAACTATATGTTTTAGATCTTATGGGATGGACAACATATATTGCAATCACCAATTATAGAATAATAAACATGTAGGAGAATGCTGCCTACACAGTATCCTTCCTCTATAATCATATTCAAACAAGACCTTGATATAATTATCAGGGTTTTTTCTAGTTCTAGTTGCACATGCTTTGAAATACGGTGCTGTCCTAGGGTTCTCTGAATATATTGTCTTTGGTTTTTGGGACTATGTGAAGTGTGACTGTGATTTGCACACATTTCTATAGGTTTTTCTCCTTTGGATTCTCTTTAACACATTAAGCAGCACCCATGTCAAACACTTGGCACCTAGGTAATTGTGTGGGATGTGTGTTCAAAATTTCCTACTTGATATGCACCTAACCGGCTTATCCAACAACTGTGTTTTTATATAGTTACATGTAAACTTTAGTGATTTGTTCCTTTTTTAGAATTTATTTAACATAAGCGAAGTGCCCATTTTGAACTCTATTTCCATAAACAACCGTTGTATCAATAATACATAGATAAAAATATTAAAGAATACCGATATATTTACAGGATATATCTGAGAAAGTAGATTCTTCTAGTCACTGAGATATATTAAACTGCTGCAGGGTTCAATTCCACATTAAGGCAGGGTAACATTACACACCACGAATACATTCAGGTTAGTTATGGTTACACCTGTGTTTCTGGTGAAGCGTGAATCTTCTTGTTGATGTCTTGATAGCCTATTCCTTGATGCAGGTTGGAAAGGGAAGAGATGTTGGGTTAAACCAAATTGCTTTATTCGAAGGTAAAGTGGCTGGAGGAAATGGGGAGCAAGTTCTGAGCAGGGATGTATACAGGCTTGGACAACTTCTTGACTTCTTTAGAATGCTCTCTTTCTACTTCACCACCGTTGGTTACTATGTTTGCACAATGGTATGGCATCTTTTTTTTTTTTTCCCTTTTAACTTGTTCCCTTTTCTCAAATGAATTTGATTTCTTTTGGGTAGAGCTATTGTGTAGAATTTCTAATGAGAGTTTGGTTTTTAAATGCAGATGACGGTTATTACGGTATACATTTTCTTATACGGAAGAGCTTATCTGGTAATGTGGAATGCTTTAATTTTGAATTATTGCTACTTTGTATGGAATGTCTCTCCTTGTTTCTTGTTTTTTGACTTGTCATTTTGTCACTTGGGGTATATGATCCTCTTCCATATGGTACATCAAAATAATTTTTGTTACAAACAATCTATTGCATCAATGTTGTTAAACTGCCTAGGTAGGCTTGACATATTTGGGGAGTTGACCTTGCAAAATAAGATATATGTATGCTTGTCACATCAAATCACACTGATCAGACTTCCAACTGATCTTGCATCCGCCATGAGATAATTTTGTTTATAGGACTGCCTTGTTCTAGAGCCACAGAGTTGAGCAGTATATTGACACCTCTATATTTTCCAACTTGTGTATCTTTCAGAAAACTTCAGAGTTGAGCCTTTAGATATCTTACAGATTGTGACCACTTCCTCTTCCCATCTTCACCTGTCCCACTCTGGCTGCCCAAATTTTTTTTTTTTTTGACGGTCCTAGGAAGTACATGTTTCCATAAGGTTTCTAGCTAGGATAAATGTTCTTTTGATGAAAAAGAGAATTTAAGAATGTGTCCACTAATTTACTAAATTAAAGTTTCTAAAGAAATTAAAATTTGAGTCTTCTAATTTGTGCATTTGTGAAAAGTTGTTTCCAATCACATTGTGAAGTTTAATAAATTGTTCAACAATATAAATTTTGCAGCCATTTACCGGCCTAGTTGATGTACACGTGGATAAGAATCAAAATTTTATTTTGAAATGGTCGAAACGTCTGAAACGTTTCTGTTTTTAAGGAGATCGAAACGAATCAGTAATAAATTCAAAATTCTAATATTTTGAGGTGTTTCATAATGTTTGTAAGTGTTTTGTAATGTTTCAATATAGTTGCACAATTATTTCAGAATGTTTTAAGATATTTCAAGATATTTTGATATAATTCGACCAATGTTTTGGAAAAATAATTTTTAAAATTTTTAATTTTTTTCAATCTGTTTTCGAAATATGTCGAAATATTTTCGAAACACGTTGAAACGTTTTGTTTCTTAGGTGACTGAAACAATGTACCAAATTGAAATTTTGATCCTTGCATGGGATCATTTTGAGAAAGGGTCTAAAATTTATAGGATATATGGTGAAATAAAGGGTAATTAAAGAAATAAACCCATAGAAGAAACTCTTTTTAAAAAAAACAATTGCCAAGAAGGAAGCCACGACAGATTTGGTGCTGCAATGGAGGCAATCAAAGCACTGCCCATTTGGGAGAGGGAGAATGGGATTAGAGGAAAAGAAAGGGGCAGCTGATAAAAGCTTAGAGTGGGAGCCAACCGAGTTATGTAGATGTTCCATGTGTGTATACTTAATCCAATGAATCTATTACTTAGTATCTTAATTTCATAAGACAACTTAAATGATGTCGGGCGTTATGTTTGATTTTGTAATATTTGTCAAGGATAAAATTTGCAATACGAAATTTTCTTTAAGACTACTAGGAAGATCAAAGGCAAGGGATTTTTAGGATTGGCTTTATAATATTGATTAAGGATAAAACTTACTATCTAAGAGTACACAACAACACAACTTCCAAGAGTTTGCACTAGCTTCTACACGATGCATTCCAACTCACTTTAATACTAAAAAAAGGGACACTCTCAAAGTCCTTTGTGATCAAATCCCAAAATAAAGTTAAGAAATATGCACAATCCCACAATCCCTCACACCACTTCCTTTTATTTTCAAAGATCCTCGAATTCCTTGCTAATCAATAATCTAAACAATGCCTAGGAAAACACATTGCCAAAGAGTACAACCCTCACCCTTCTCCCTCCACCTAAACCATTGAAATCCAAGCTAAACATGGATGAAGAAGATTGTCGGGCTACCCAACAATACCTTATCAACTCTCCCAATTTGTTCCATAAAAATAAAGCAATAGTATAATGGAAGAATAAATAGTCCACACTTTTACAATTTTCTCTACACATGACGCATCATTAAGGGCAAACGCTAGTATAAGGCCTCCTTCTTTGGACCGCATCAAGAGTATTTAACTATTTATCTTACCTTGAACAATTACCCATGCACATACTTGCACTTTCAAGTGCACCTTATCTTTCCAAATCTTTAGTAATTGGTTTTGAACTTAAGTTTTTATTTGTCTTGTATGCAAATAACAACAAAAAGCAAATAAAAGTGTATGTGGACAGAATTTGTCCACAATAATGCATGTGGTAGCCTTGCCTCAGTAGATGGAATGGAACTGAGAAACGAGAATTGGCTTTATTGAAAACTCTTTCAAGCAAGCCAAGATGGATGGAGAAAAAGAGACGACAAAAGATTAAGCAATTTGAGGGAGGGATAATGGCATGGATGGAGAAAAAAATATAGCTGGTAGAAGAGATGGGCTAACCTAAGTTATGTGTACATGTGTGTCTATAGTCACTAAAACAATCCAATAATAATTAATAAACATAAGTTAATGTACTGATCAACTTAATATAAGAGGGGCTAACCTAAGTTATGTGTACATGTTGTGTGTCTATAGTCACCACAACAATCCAATAATAATTAATAAACATAAGTTAATATACTGATCAACTTAATATCAAGATAGGAGAAAATGATGTAGTAGATAAAATTGACCAAGTATAAAATTAGAAATAGAAAATTTTTTATGGATAAGTGGTGTTCATAAAAAAAAAATATAGAGAGACAGATAAATGAACTTGAAAAAAATAAGTTCTCAAAAAAAAATGAACTTGACAAAAATGACAAATTTGAATTAAAAGAATCTAAATCCAGTTTGTTATTGCAAATAATTAGTTTATATAGGATTGCCTTTAATGTGGGTTGCCAAATGGCCACATTGTTTGTCCTAACGAAAAGGAAGTGATGCAATTAGGAATATATCAGATTTATAATTTTTTTTATGTTTAAAATTTTAACATGTTTTCCTCTTTTTCTGGAATTTAACTAATTAATTCTTAGTATATATTGGTATTCCAATCCAGAATTAAGATTTTGATGTTGAATGAGATCTCAACATAAGGTGCACGTTGTGTTGGGCTAACCCAAAGCAAACCCATCCCCTTTCAACCCATTTATTTAAATGATTGAAGTATGTATGACCATATTTAAGGCCAGGTCTTGAGTTAGTTTTCAATATAATGGACTTATTGATATCTTTTATTTGAGCCATTTGAAAGGCTGTGGAAATTTTTGTGTAAGAGAAAGTTGTTTACTAATCTGAAAAGAGAAGAAAAGAAAAGATAAAATAGTTGGACTCATGGATTACAAGGAAAGGATATACATGGAAGGGTTTTGGAGCAGTCGAGAGTAATATTGTATTAATAAAGTTTTTGAAGGGTGCTGTGTATTTTATTGAAAGAGGAATGCCATGGTTTTCTATATATTTTCTTTATGTATTTCTTAAAGGTAATAAGGTAATTTAAAAGCTTCATAGATAGTGACATATGATATTTCATGACCCTAGCTTTGTACAGAATTTTTTTTTTTTTTTTTTTTGGGGGGAAAAACAAGAATAGAACACCCATTCCACAAAACCCCAACATGGCAAGCCACCCAATGACAACTTGCAGCCCTTCACATGCAATGAACTCTTTGACTGCTTGTATATTTATTTTCGTGTTTTGCATGGACATGTGAATATAAATGCTATTGTTACTGTAAATGATAGTGGTCTCTTTTTGAATTTTGAAATTATTCTTATTGTTGTTTATTATAATTGCAATTACAATTACAATTACCAAACTATTACAAAAGTGAGTTTATAAAATTAATCAGCGGAAAAATTGAAAAATAAAAGGGGTGATTAATAGTAACTTTAAATTACTGTTGGAGGATAAAAAGGAAAACCAAAAGTTTTATTGGTTAAGGGACTTCTATTAGAAGTATAGAGTACCAATTATAATGTTAAGACACTAGTAAAACGTTCAAAAGTAAAATCAAAGAGGTGGAATGTTATGCCTTCGAGGAAGAAAATATTATTTCAAAGTATCAAATTGCATAGTTAAAAAGAATAAACAAATAGTATGGGCCTTTTGAGTATTTAATCACTGATGATCCTATGATTCAGGTAGTTAGATTCTCACAGCTATTTTTTAGTTAATAATTTTTGTTCGTGAGCATTTGGCTTTTCCCTTCCTGATCCTGGTCAATTGGCTACTTTTGCCTGAGTAGATGTGCATCTATGCTTTTAGAATAGTTGACAAGTTTAGTATTTCACTCTTGTCACTTGTCATGTTAGTATCATAATAAGAAGGCAGAACCAACTGTAGTGCATCTTAAATGCCTAATTTTGCATCCATGTAAAGCTTCCTTTTACACCCCCCCCCCCCCCTTCTTTTTCCTACGGCTGGTGTGTCTATGACCTCTCCAGGATTGTGCTTTTCTTCAATGCTCCACTTAAGGCAATTCCTCAGATACCAACCTTTTAAATCTTTCAGGCTTTCTCTGGACTGGATCGAGGAATTTCAGAGGCAGCTACAATTATGGGTAACACTTCATTGAATGCAGTGCTAAATGCTCAATTCTTGTTCCAAATTGGAGTTTTCACTGCAGTGCCAATGATAGTGGGCTTTATACTTGAAATGGGATTACTGAAGGTTAGTACATTTGATCATATCAGTCATGCTGAGATTCTTTGCCTACAAGTGTGCAATACTTAAATTCTAAGTTCGGGGGTTTTGTGGCTTATGGTTGCTTATATTATACTTTTTTCATGACCCATTTTTATCATATATATTATTGCATGTTTGCAGGCTGTGTTCAGTTTTATTACAATGCAGCTTCAGCTGTGTTCTGTATTTTTCACATTCTCGTTAGGAACAAGAACTCATTATTTTGGACGCACTATCCTCCATGGAGGTGCAAAGGTATCTAAATGTTTTCTGGTCTATGCAATGATGAAGCTTATATTTTATTTTTATTTTTTTTCTGTTTGGGGACTAATGCGC